CCCCCCCCCCCCCCCCCCTCCCGCGAAAATATACACCCCTGGTGTAAACTCTGGCATATTCTGCTTCTTACTTACCTGACAATGTTCAACAAACTGATCATCCTTTCTTATCTTCTTCAAGCCAACCAAACTTTTCTTTCCTAAGTTATCAACGATGAAGATAAATATTTTTTACTGCGTTTTAAAAAGAAGGAAGAAAAGATTCAAGAATTACATAAGAATTTACAAAAAATTCATTTTTTTAGATTTAGGTGAAGAACGTGTTGTAATTTTAATTTAGACGCTACTTGTCTGGTGTTTTAACAACAAGGACACAATAGTCTCTCACAAGTGAACCCTTGTAATTTATCAATAAGATTTTAAGATAAGGACTTTTTAATATCAACAGGAAAATTATTTCAAGGGGGAGGAAAAGATACAAAAGAGAATCTTCAAAGATATTCAGATCTGACTCTGGGTACAAAATAATCAATAGCATTCCTAAGTCCTGGATTCAACCCTTTTTCAGACTCTTCAGACCAACATTTCCGACACATGATTCTTCCGTTAGAGGGACGCTAAGACCTGTTTTGTCGAAACGAGAAGTCGGGGGGGAATCTTTTATTCCGTCTGATATTAGACAGAAAACAACTTCAACCAAAGGGGCAAATGTTTATTTTTAGTTACAACTCATAAAGTGGTTCAGTTTGGCCGGTTATAGCGTCCCATATCATATTAGATTATCTCCAATCTTTAATGCCAAAATACGCACATAAATCTTGAAAAATGTAGCATTTTCTGCAAAAAAATTTCTTTTTTTCCTCATTAAATTTTTCAAAATGATTGTTTCTTTCTTTTTCTGAGTTGCCCCCAAATCGTTATTTAGACCCATTGGCATGGTCTAATTTGATGTGGGACACCCTGTAGGTAACAGATAACCTACACGACATTCTCCAATTTATCTAAATATAAGGTTACAAGTTCCTAACAGATAACCTACATGACATTCTCCAATTTATCTAAATATAAGGTTACAAGTTCCTAACAGATAACCTACACGACATTCTTCAATTTATCTAAATATAAGGTTACAAGTTCCTAACGTAGCAAGGTGAAACTTACCAAGTAAAAAACCATGTTTTTCTTCCCATGTACATTCAGTTTTCAACACTAGCAAAAGAAAATAAATATTTTGAAAAGCCAATTGATAAAATAAAATATATTTATTACTTATCAATGGTGAAATCAATGGTTTAAAAATAAAAACTTGGGGGGATAAAAATGCAACTTGCATTTTATTCATTCTTGAAAAAGTTTGGTAAAAATTCTGTGACAAATTGATATGATAATAATGCTTGATAATGCTTGATAATGCCTGTAATGATGAAATACGAATTGAATGTTTCAGTGCTTTACCTAAATCATCTAACATCTGTTCAACAAGAACAACTTTTTCATCCTCACTGAAAATATTTTTTTTTTTACAATTTTATCAAACTTGAAAGGACGGGCGACGGAATTAAATAATTTTATGGAAGATTTACAGCAGTACCCTTACAACCATATTCTAAGTAGCAATGAGAAATATATCTTTGTTTTTTAATTCTCATTTCTGTTGTATTAATTTGCAAGTCACTTCTATAGAGAAACCGCAGTTGAAAATACTCAATTTTAAGTAATAAATAAAAAATATGTGAAGTCATTCTTAATAAGACAAAGGTATCAAGTGTACCAAATTGTGAATCTGAAGATTCCTTAATTCATTATTATAAAATAGAAAATTCATCAAATTTTGTAAAAAACTATTTCATTTAATCTGCTTCTTTTCTAGCTTTCAGTACGGTCATCATATGAGTATAAGCCATGCGTCGGGTTCAGACATAAATGCACAGACAAGAGTTTAACAGAAAATCTGTTTGATATTCCTGCAGCTTTGGGAAAATAAAAGAAATTCTGAAAAATCATAAAATAAGAAAATAAAATATTTCAAAAAGAGAAAATATCTACCCAGTTGGGAAAAATCAAATTTGAAAGGTTTGGTTCTTAATTATTTTTACCTTTTTATTAATTCCTCAAACAAAAGTATTCCCTTATCTCGTTCTAAAATAATTGTAAAAATTTTGTAAAATTTAAATTTTTATAATAACCCAATCTTCAAAATAGTTCATATTCAATGTTATGAAAGAATATAAAATATTTAGAAATCAATTGGAATGGTAATATTTTAAAATGAACATAAATATTGGATCTAGTAATGTCAAATTAATAAAATTGATATTTATTGATTGATCAATGATCTTGATATTAATTTGTAACATTTGCTGAAAATTTTAAATTGGGTTTAAATAAATCAATTTTTAATTGGGTTTAAATAAATCAGTTTAGAATTAGGTTAAAATAAATCAATTAAGAATTGGGTTTAAATATATCAGTTTAGAATTAGGTTTAAATAAATCAAATTAGAAAATATTCTAGAAGAACAAACCTAGTTTAGAGGGAGAGACGAGAAGGGAAACTATACTTTCGGTCATTTGTTATTCTGAAGAAATATCATGTTAAATAATAATATAATATAATTTTATTCTTGAATAGAAACGTCATCAGAGCTGACAACTTTTGTGTTGGTTACTTTTAACCCTGATCCCATGTGATATTGATATCCACGGCGCGGTGGGCACTACGGGTAATTTTCTGGAGAACGATTTACGCCCCCCCCCCCCTAATATCGTATGACTTACAGCTCATATGTAACACATGGTTAAAGCTGGACGTGTGGCCAAAGCGTCCGTCCCCCTAGCCGTCCTAGCCGCAGCACTCGGCCACTACCGGTAATTTCCCACTGTAATCCTTTCCCCCCTCCCCGCCTATTAATTTTGTACCAAGAGCTCACATGCTATAACACATGTTCAAAATTGGATCTGCGGCCGCAGCGCCCGGCCCCCTAGCCTAGGTCCTAACATTTGCGCTCGGCGCCTAGCCTGAACAAGTCGCAGTGCTTGACCCAGAATTAGTCTTCACCTAACCTAAACATGAACTAAAACAACATAAATATTGTTAATTTTGTCGAAAAATAATAATTGTAAAAAATTTGTAGATGGGGGGGGGGCGGGAAGAATTGACCAAAAAAGTGTTCTCCAGGGCACTGCACCCCCCTTCCCAGAGATCGGCCCAGAAATTTTCTTAGCATAACCTGTATATCTGTAAATATAAAGTTGTAATCTCTTTTTGTCTGGTTGTTCATCCCCTCATAACTCAAGAACCCCTGTATCGAATTACATCAAATTTTGATTGGGAAGCTCGGGAGACCCACGGGAATGTTTTAGCTTGGTTTGGAGATTCTAAGTTGAGTATAAGTCGACTAAAATAACGAAAATTTAGTTTCCTGGTAAAATCGTTCAAGTGTGGGTAAACGGAGGGAGTAATTTTCAGTAACCTTGGCAGCGCTGGGTTCCCAACCTATTGAAAAATAATAAAAATTGTTTATAAAATTTTGTATAAAGATCCGGGATCATATATATAAAATAATAGGAGGAGAAGGTAGCATTGGGGACAAAAATCCATGTCTAACATATAAGATCCATGTATAAAATTGATAGGAGGGGGAGGGGGGGTCTAAAAATCGTTCTCGAGGAATATACCTAGACCCGCAGCACTCTGCCTAGAAATGTCCTGACGACCTATCCTAGCCATGAAATTATAAAAATAAATGTTTTTTTTTAGTTGAAAATAGTTTAATTCTTGGTCAATTACAAGATTGAAAGGAGGGGGGGGGGGGGGCAAACAACATTCTCTAGGACAGACCCAAAATATGTACCATTGCGAATTGCAAAGAAGCTCTTTATGTTGAAGTTCATATAAACAACATAAAAAATGACATTACAAAGTTTAAAAGCACCGAGTGTTCCATGAATATGTCAACTACATTACAATTAACGCTATCCGATCAATGAAGAATTTGCTTTAAAATTGATTGATTGATTAACGTTTATTTCTATGTGCATCCAAAGGCGAGCACCTTAAATGTAATTTTGCTTTAAAAACAACCAAATCTAAATCAATCAAAGAAAATAACAACACTTTGAGTGATCTGCTAGAATGCCGCAAATTATTCGCAAAAAAAGAAAAATAAACGTTTGTTTTATAGAATATCTAAAAAATTAGTTTAAGTCAACTTTTTCAAAAAAAACAAAATTTCCGATAGATTCAGTCACCTTAAATTCTACAAAAATTGAATTTAGTCTTAAAGATAAAATTAAAGAAAAATATATAATGACGACATTTGTAGAAGATACATCAATGAACCTACGTCTCTCAAATTTTATTTTTACTCGGTATGATTAAAGATTAAGTTAAAATTTATTATGTAGGATACAGGGTGTCCCACGAAACAAGACATTTAATAAACAGTTATTTTTAGTTAAACAAATCTTTTGCTTGATTATATTTTACTTTGAAATCAATTTTAATATGTACATGACTCCCATATAATATATTTATTGCTCTTTGGTATCCAACAACTGAGCAAATAATGGAAAAAGACATTCTAAACTATTCACCAACTGTCATGTTTCGTGGGACACCCTGTATGTCAAAATAATTGCTTGAGAAACAAATATTTTTTCTTTTGGTCTAATCGTATTAGATCAGATTGACACATAGGGCAGATCATAAAAATTCATTTTTGACAAAGACGACAAATCAGGGATATATTAAAACTACGGGGCATTATTCAGTGAAATTTGCGCATAATCGTAAAATAACATTAGTCAATAACCTAACCTTCTCATTCAGCAGTGTTTTTCATAACTTTGATGAAAATGTTGAATTAGAATATGTTATCAAAAGTATGGTTTGGCAGAAATGGATCGATTCTTAATTCGAACTCCACGAAGTGAACTCATTCAGTCTTCATCGTCATCTAAAAAGAAAAAGGTAAACAAGGAATATTAATAATAGGGTCTGTCCGAATGAACGATTTTTGGACCCCCGCCCCCCCTCCCCCCCTCCTATCAATTTTGTACATGACCATTAATTTTTCAGCAAATTTATTATTATTTATTTTTTTGTTATTTAGGGTTAGGTTAGGTTAAGACACTTTCTGGGTCGAGCGCTGCGGCAAGGATGGGCTAGGGGGCCGAGCGCTGCGGCCACGGGTTAGGCTAGTTAAGACACTTTCTGGGCCGAGCGCTGCGGCTAGGACAGGCTAAAGGGCCGAGCGCTGCGGCCACGGGTTAGGTTAAGTTAAGACACTTCCTGTCAGACCCATGTACCAAATTGATAGGAGGGGGGCATGGGGGGGGGGTCCAAAAATCGTTCTCTAGGAAATTACCTAATAATAATAATGTCATGTTTTATGAGTTTTGTTAAAGTATTTAAAACTGTCTGGTCAAGCTGAAGTGGTGTGAACTAATTTGTATTTTCACATTTTTTAAAGTTTCAAATTCCTTCAAAAAAAATCTTGTTTACATGTCATCTTAGTTTTGAAATACAGATTAAAAATAACATTTTGATATTATTAAAACTCGTAGATTTGACAGGATAAAAGGTTTGTTTTGTGAATCCTAATTTTATTAATTTGAGCCGCGTCTCAAATCCGCCAGACTGTTTTTAATTGAGCGCCGGCTGAAAACTTGAAACATTGAAGCATATTTGCGCCGCGTCTTAAATTTAAGCCGCGACTCAAATTCTTTAAATTCTGCCTCTGCATATATAGTTCTTGTGTGAAAATCACACTGGTTCAGCCTTCTTCTTTCAGCTGTAGTTCGTCCTAAAGTAATAGTTACGATACGATTTTACAGATGTAATCCCCATTTGACTCTCTGTTCGTTTGTCTGATCAGAACTAAGTAACCCCTCGACAGATTGGCCTCGAATTTTTATTGGGGACTTGGGAGAGCCACGGAAAAGTTCTTAGTTTGAGATTTTGAAATATTTAGTTAAGTTGGTCGACTTTTATACGAAAATTTAGTTTCCCGGTGAAATCGAACAAGTTCGGGAAAACGGCGGAAGAAGCTTTAAGTTCCCTGGGCAACGTTGGGTTCCCAAGCTAGTTTGTTATAAATTAAACCTATTTTTTTTAGTCCCGTTCTAGTCAGTCTACTATATCTTCACTACCTGGTGTTGTTGATATTAAAGATTTAACCATCAAAAAGGTAATTTATTTTGCAAATATAATACTACAAAGATTACCAAAAAACTTAAGAATAGGACTTCCTATTCTAGAGTTTTTTGGTTATCCCTGTACATAATACTTTTTTGTTCCAACAGTATTGTATTAGTATTCTTTAGATGAAAAACAATGGGTACGATTTCATGACATCTTCATTAGCTTATTATGATTTTATTTTTACCATATGTCATTTGTTTTAAAGTTTTAAATTGCCTCTAATAAGACTTTGTATATGCGACAGTTAATTCTTCTTTCCCTATGCATTACAATGTACCCACATTCTACATATTATTGTGGGACGTATAAGAGGGNAAGGAACACAGTTTCTCTTAAATAAACACCTTTCCCTGAGAAGAGACATTTTACCCTACAACTTTGTTATCATTTCATCTTCTTATCTAACCCGGAGAAGGGGGGAGGGTTGGCTTAGAATATATAATATAAAATAACAGTACACCTGTTTGTTAAATGTTTTTGGTTTGTAGATTGATTTTGTTTTATTTTAGAGGAAACTTGAGAGTTCTGATATATTTAGTAAGGAGAAGATTACTATTCTACAGGTGCGTATTATTTTGTGTATGTAACTATTAGGGTAAACCCCGAAAAGGTTGATGAAAAATACAAAATGTAACTAAGTGAAAAAGACAACTAGTTGCAAGTTTTAAAAGCTGAAAAAGAACTGTTTTTATTAATAAAAATCTCAATATAAAAATTAACTGGTTAATGTTTCTTGAGATTGGTTTAAAAACCTCTTAAAATAGATATGGGGTTAAATGGAAAGATGTGAGATCAACTCATGCGTTAACAGGCAACTTACCTGTTCTCCCTGCTCCAGTGATCTTTGTGAATAAAGAATAGTTTAAAAATGTCATATTGGTTATCATAAAGAAAGTAGAAGTTTTGAGCAAGACCACAAACTAGAACTTTTTTGAATTGATTTTGAATGTTGAAAAATGTGTGGTACGTACGTGTGTACGTATGTCCGTATATATTGGCTTCCCAGATCGCCAGTTCAAAATATTTGCTCAAATATAAGTAACAAATTTCATTTGTTGAAAATAAGAAATTTTCATTATAACAAAAAAGCAGAAAAAATCGAAAATTTTCATTTATAATTTAGACAAATGTATTTTATGTGGAATGAAGTATAATGTGGTTATATGAGAAACTTACAACGGTAACCTTTATGTGATTTTGTCGGACCACTGCTCCATCAAATCCTGATGATTTGGTAATGAAAAAGGGACCAGAGAGCTCAACCAACTCAATATAAGTTGAGGGCCTTGCATAATGCTAATTAGTACATCTATTCATTATCACAGAGAACTCAAGTTTAGCGGACTAAATAAATATGTATATATATATATATTCACTGGAAGCAGTAGAGTTCAGAAAACCTAAAATATGTATATATATATTCACTGGAAGCAGTAGAATTCAGAAAACTTAAAATAAATGAAATTTCAAGTGACTCTCAACAGAGCTTTTAAGGGTTCTGTCATTTATCAGCCATGTCAGGTTTTTTTAAAAATAAAGATGCACTCGAAATTACGTCTACAGTCCCTTTAATGTTTATTTAGGAGTTGGAGAAAAAGAATCCTAGTACTCAGGTTCTCATTGATACAGGGATAGGACGAACAGTCAGCAAGCTTAGAAAGGTAGTTTATTAAAATCAGTGCTTAGGATCCGGATCCGTTGGATCCGCAACATTTTGCCTTCCTGGATTAAGATGCAAGGCAAAATATTAACCAAAAACTGAAGAAAAAAATATCTTCTGCTCTCAAAACTCGATCTGAACTGTTGAAAAAATGTCTTTATCTCTGAATGGTTTTTCGAGTTGTTGCAAAAGAAAGAAAATAATACAAAAAATCTTCTTCTGTTAAAAATCAGTAAATCAGTAACCTAAATACGGATCAGGCTTTGGATCTGGATCCATTTTTTCCAGTGCGGATCCAGGTTCATGATTCGGATCTGCATCAAAATCAAATGGATCCTAAGCACTGATTTAATCTGTACAGTGGTGCTCATAAAACACCGCGTATTTGCTATTGTTATAAAGCAAATAGTGAAATGGGTCTGTGTACAAATCATTCATTGTTTTATGTTTATTAGACAAAATTATAACTTGGGTCTAACAGTTATTCTCATATTAAATAGTCTGGGGGGTTCATAACGGGACCTCTTTTTCAGATTTCTTTTCTTATAGTTCTTATATTTATTTATTCAGTTCAGTAGATCGAAAGGTGGCAATGAATACTTTGGAATTTTATGAGTTCATTATTTGCACAATTTTCACTCATCAACACTTCCAATTTTGAAAAGTGTTCAATTCTAACCTGTTTTTCCCATATTCTTTAGCAACAATCACTTTTAAAGAAACCACAATAGAAAAATTTGATTTTTTAAAGAGAAAAACATATTATTTTCTCTTGAGATGGCAGATACAGTTGTGAATCGGACATGACTCTCGTAAACTAAAGGGTTACTTGTAATTACGTCTACAGTCCCTTTAATGTTTATTTAGGAGTTGGAGAAAAAGAATCCTAGTACTCAGGTTCTCNTCATTGATACAGGGATAGGACGGACAGTCAGCAAGCTTAGAAAGGTAGTTTATTAAATTCAGTGCTTAGGATCCGGATCCGTTGAATCCGCAACATTTTGCCTTCCTGGATCCGGATGCAAGGCAAAATATCAACCAAAAAATGGAAAAAAAACATCTTTTGCTCTCAAAACTCGATCTGAAGTGTCTTTATCTCTGAATGGTTGTTGCATAAGAATGAAAATAATACAAAAATTCTTCTTCTGTTAAAAATCAGTAAAACTTAGAATTTTTTTTTGTCCAAGTGCGGATTCAGGATCATGACTCGGATCTGCATCAAAATCAAATGGATCCTAAGCACTGCTTTAATCAGTACAGTGTGATTGTTATAAAGCAAATAGTAGAACTGGTCTGTGTACAAATTATAATTCAATTTTTTTCGTTTATTGGACAAAATCATAACTTGAGTCTCATAGTCATTCTCATATCATATTGTTGTATATTTATTTATTTAGTTTAGTAGATCGAAAGGGGGCAATAAATACAATATATTTTGTGGGAAGTAGAAATTGTACGCGAGGTGGCTTGTACAGTGTACATAAATATATTTGGTGTGAAGTAGAACGTGTACGCGAGGCGGCTTGCACAGTGTACATAAATATATTTAGTGTGAAGTTGAAAGTGTACGCGAGGTGGCTTGTACTGTGTACATAAATATATTTAGTGTGAAGAAGGACGAATACGCGAGGCGGTTTGTACTGTGTACATAAATATATTTAGTGTGAAGAAGGACGTGTACGCGAGGTGGCTTGTACAGTGTACATAAATATATTTAGTGTGAAGAAGGAAGTGTACGCGAGGCGGCTTGTACAGTGTACATAAATATATTTAGTGTGAGGTAAAAAGTGTACGCGAGGCGGCTTGTACAGTGTACATAAATATATTTAGTGTGAAGAAGAAAGTGTACGCGAGGCGTCCTGTACAGTGTACATAAATATATTTAGTGTGAAGAAGAAAGTGTACGCGAGGGGCTTGTACAGTGTACATAAATATATTTAGTGTGAAGAAGAAAGTGTACGCGAGGCGGCTTGTACAGTGTACATAAATATATTTAGTGTGAAGAAGAAAGTGTACGTGAGGCAGCCTGTACAGTGTACAACAAATGGAAGCTGGTCCTAGAGAGAAGAGTGGAGCTTAGTTCAAACAAAATAATTGTTAAATCTGATCTGGTAATATATAGTATACAGTATACACCTCCAGAACCTCTACCAGGGATATGTATTAAATACTTTTATCCTCCCCCCCCTTTTTTTGTACTTTTTGAGCCAAAAAATTCATTTACTTACCCAAATCCATTGCAGCGGTAAGATAAGTTTTTTTTAATTTGTGCTTTGAGCGAACATTCCTGATAAAGGGGAGGGGGATGTTTTAAATATATTGTATTTCCCATACCTTCACCTAACCAATCCCCTTCTTATATTGTTGGGGGTGTGGGGGGTTTTATTAACCACAAAGAATGGCTCTTCATAATTTTATGATTGCTATACTGCATAATTGCTCGGTTTAATCTTTAAATAGTACAATGTAGGTTGGCTAATGTATTAAATTTTGTCAAAACGTTAATATAATCATAATAATCAAAATCATAATTGTAATCATAATCGTTTCATAATCATAGTTTTAATCTTATTTATGATCATGATCATAATTTTAATCTTATTTTTTATTCACAATCATGATTTCAATCCTATTTAGAATTATTAATAATTATCATTATTTTAATCTTATTTATAATCGTAATCATGATTTTAATCTTTTTTATAATCATAACCATAGTTTTATCTTATTTATGATCATAATCATAGTTTTAATCTTATTTATAATCACAATCATGATTTTAATCTTATTTATGATCATAATCATAGTATCTTATTTATAATCAAAATCATGATTTTAATCTTATTTATAATCATAATCATAGTTTTATCTTATTTATGATCATAATCATAGTTTTAATCTTATTTATAATCACAATCATGATTTTAATCTTATTTATGATCATAATCATAGTATCTTATTTATAATCAAAATCATGATTTTAATCTTATTTATAATCATAATCATAGTTTTAATCTTATTTATAATTATAATCATAGTTGTAATCTTATTTATAATCACAATCATGATTTTAATCTTATTTATGATCGTAATCATGATTTTAATCTTATTTATGATCATAATCATAGTTTTAATTATATTTCTAATCATAATGATGACTTTAATCTTATTTATGATCATAATCATTATTTAATATTATTTATAATCATAATAATAGTTTTAATCTTATTTATAATCATAATCATAGTTACAATCTTATTTATAATCATAATATCCAAGAAATTTTATTTGTTTTATTGTAAAGACCCAGTTTTGGTTTTTCATATACATTTACGTTTTCACTCAGAATGCAACATAGTAGACAGATCGCAATATTGGTTGGAGGATTGAATGTGAAGTATTTAAAGTTAAATCTTGACTTGTTGTGAGTAGAAAATATTTTAAAAGTTATTTTTTAACGAAATTTATTTATTTTTTTGCAAAGTTCCGAAATGATATTTTTGGAAGGTTTGAGGTTTGTATTTCTAAATAATCACTTTATGGGAAAATGTTGTTCTCCCGCCATCTTAAGAAGTAGTTAACCCCGTCACTCATAAAAAAAAAATAGTTTCTATCTTAATGGTTGCAATCCATCACACTATCCATTAAATGCATAGAGTTTATAAAACATTGCATATTTGCATATTTACATCAAAAACTTCAAACATTCAGTTTTTAGAATATTCCACTTTTCCATTGTTCTTTTTCACGTCTCATTTCATTGTCCGTTTATATTTAGGTTTCTTCCCTTTTTTCCCCAAACTTTTCCTTTTCTCTCCTCTTTTGATATTTTATAAATCCTCATGCTTACATTCCTATTCCCTTTTCCGTTCTAACAGTTTTTTATAAGATATTTTTTAATATCAACTGTTGTTTTTGTCTGTATATATAAAGTTGTGAAATATTGATTAGTTATTTTGAGGATTTATTAATGCGTAAACATTAAAATATACCAACTGGGATTTATTAAATTTTATTTCTTGGATTTATTGGTCATTTGTTGTCTTAATTTTTGCGCATAATCTCAGTGCAGGTGAAAACATTAAAAAAATTAATTTAAAACAAAAATTTAAGAAATGCTTAATCTTTTCAAATCATATTTGTTTGCAGTAAACTCTCGGTATAGACGAGTGTCCCGAAAAGTCGTCTTTGCTTTGAAGAATTCTGAGAACAAGAGTAAAACGTTCTCCTCTTCAGTAGAGATTAAACAACTAGTTGATCAACAGAACTAGCCGCAGGTACACCCTCATTCAAAATATATCCATGATTTNCATTTAGTTCTACCCCTTCATTTTGTTCTACCCTTCATTTTGTTGTACCCTTCATTTAGTCCTACCCTTTATTTTGTTCTACCCTTCATTTTGTACAATACTTCATTTTGTTCCACCCTTCATTTTGTTCTAAACCCTTCATTTAGTTCTACCCCTTCATTTTGTTCTACCCCTTCATTTTGTTCTACCCATCATTTTGTTGTACCCTTCATTTAGTCCTACCCTTCATTTAGGTCTACCCTTTATTTTGTACAATACTTCATTTTGTTCCACCCTTCATTTTGTTCTAAACCCTTCATTTAGTTCTACCTCTTCATTTTGTTCTACCCTTCATTTTGTTCTACCCTTCATTTATTCCTACCCTTTATTTTGATTTACCCTTCATTTAGGTCTACCCTTTATTTTGTACAATACTTCATTTTGTTCCACCCTTTATTTTTTTCTACCCTTCATTTAGTTCTACCCTTCATTTTGTTCTACTCTTTTATTTTGTGCTTCCCTTCATTTTGATTTACCCTTCATTTTGTTCTACCCTTTATTTTGACTACCCTTCATTTTGTTCTACCCTCCATTTTGTACTACTCTTTATTTTGTCCTACCTTTCATCTTGTCCCACCCTTCATTTTGTTCTACCGTTTAATTTGTTCTACCCTTTATTTTTTACTACCCTTTATTTTGTTTCATTCTATCCTTTTTTGTTCAAACCTTAATTTTGTTCTACTCTTCATTTAGTTCCACTATTTATTTAGTGCTTCCTTCATTTTGATTTACCCTTCATTTTGTTCTACCATTCATTTTGTTCTACCCTTCATTTTGTTCTACTCTTTTATTTTGTCCTACCCTTCATCTTGTCCCACTTTCATTTTGTTCTACCCTTTAATTTGTTCTACCTTTTTTCCCTACCCTTTATTTTGTTTCATTCTATCCTTTTTTGTTCAACCCTTAATTTTTTTCTACTCTTCAATTAGTTCTACCCTTCATTTTGTTCTACCCTTCACTTTGTTCTACCCTCCATTTTGTTCTACCCTTCATTTTGTTCTACCGTTCATTTTGTTCTACATTTCATTTTGTTCTACCCTTCATTTTTTCCTACCCTTCATTTTGTCCAATACTTATTTTGTCCTACCCTTCATTTTGTTCTCCCCTTTATTTTGTTCTAACCTTAATTTTGTTCCACTCTTCATTTTGTTCTACCCTTCACTTTTTAAACGCTTTATTTTGTCCTACCCTTCATTTTGTGCTACACTACATTTTGTTCTACCCTTCATTTTTTAACGCTTTATTTTGTTCTACCCTTCATTTTGTGCTACACTACATATTGGGATACACTTCATTTTGTTCTACCCCTCATTTTGTTCTTCACTTCATTTTGTTCTACCCTTAATTTTGTCAGAAGATTTTTAAATTTTAAGATTTTATAAACTGAGTGATGACGTATGTTGTACGTCTTTATTACTGGAATTGAGTGTATTTTGTTTCAAGTATATCATATACGGCCTCTTCCTAGCAAACTAGACTAGACATATAAAGATTGTGTTGCCAATCTTTGGCTTATACAGGGTGTCCCAATAAACATTGGAATAAATAAATAAATAAAATCGTCTTATTTTTTCGGTAGTTGATGTTAAGGTGTCCCAGAATACCAAAATTTATTGATTTTCAATATGCTTCGTATTTTATCCCATTCATAAGTCATCTGAGCACAAAAATACAAAAAAAATGATGTTCTGACAGGGTTAGCTAAAATTTATTTATTATTAGCTAACTTTCAGATAGGGTTAGCGAAAGTCGGGTTATTCTTAGCTGATTATGGTTAACCAAAATTTTTTTATTCTAAGCTAACTTTCAGATAGGGTTTGTTAGTTTTAGGTTATTTTTAGCTGATGTTTAGATAGGGTTAGCTAAAATTAAGTTATTCTAAGCTACTTCAAAGTTCTAATAGAGTTAGCTAAAATTTGTTTATTCTTAGCTAACTTTCAGATATGGTTAGTTAAAGTCGGGTTATTCTTCTCAGGGTTAACTAAAATTTGTTTATTCTAAGCTAACTTTCAGATAGTGTTAGCTTAAAATTGTTTAATCTTAGCTAACTTTCGGATAGGGTTAGCTAAAGTCGAGTTATTCTTAGCTTATGATCAGGCAGGGTTTACAAAAATCAGTTTATTCTATGCTAAATTTCAGAAATGGATCATTATTTAATAATTTATTATTAGTAGCTTTGCCGTAAAAAAATTTTAATTCACCATATTTTCAATTTTCAAGCTTACATAAAGCTGAAATAGTGGTTTTCCTTTTGGCACACCTTTTTGATGATGACAAAATATTCTTCAAAAAAAGATTCTATATATGAGCTTTTTAAAATTGTCGGAGATATTAAACTTTTGTTGTTATTCAATAAATTGGAATCTGGACAAATTTAATTTTGATGGGTGAAAAAATGGTAGCCCACGTTTTGTAAATCCCATAGACTAGTAGTTTTTCATGTTAATTGGTTTAACTAGTATACGCCAAAATTTTGTGAACGTTATACTGCCCTGTGGAACGAAGAAGATAAAGAAGTCCTCATTTAATGCCCATGTTTATTTGGACACCCTGTATCACAGTTCCCCCCCCCCTTTTATTAAAACTTTTTAAACCATGCGGTCTGATTTTATGAATAACGAGAAGTGGTTAAACTAAGTATGATTAGCACATAGATCTGGGCTGCTAAAGAAAAGTTCCATTAATTTCAAGACTGGGTTGACTTCAAAGTGTCGCAGCGCCTTGTCCTTTGATTTTATCTTAACTAACTCACTTACACTTATATTGTAATTGTTGACAATATTGACTTGTACCACGTAGTAAAACAGAAGCACTTGTTCTTTAGTTCTTAGTTCTTAAGTTCTAATAAAGTAATTGGCAAAACTCGCATCGGTTTTTGCGTGACAGTTTGCAACCTTTGGATCACTATGCTAGTTAATCTTGACCACACTTAGGAAGGAGTATACCTATCTCGCACAACCGGTTTACATTTGAATATCGGAGCTGGGCCAACCTTTGCGGTCTTAGTTTGGACTGTACCACCAATTTACTATTGCTAAAGCGGCAGACCTGTGTGCTATCCGCACAAGTAAAACTACCCATCGGTATAAATATATATGTAGACTAATTGGGTAGGCGAGGCCATCCAGTTTATTTCTCCATCATCTTTGTTAAGAATATCTTAGTTATGTCAGGGTTCAATCCCGTAAAAGATCTTGTATTTCAAATGTCATAAAATAGAATGATAAAGCTGTTAGAAGATAAGAATTAAAGTAGACTAGGTAGGTTCAGTTCTTGAGAAGATAACGAAACATTGAGTTCCAACTTGATTGAAGGGTTGACAGCGATTATTATTATTATTATTATTATTATTATTATTATTATTATTATATTATTTTTACTAGAACAGTTTAAATTTAGTTTTTACTCTTCTCATTTTAAGCCTTCTTCCTTTATCTTTATTTAGTTCAATGTTATCATTAAAAAATTGTAAAATTAAGAATTTTGAGATTAATAGATAAAAACAAAAATTAATACTGATGACTTGATCAACTGGAAATAAGTGCTGATATTTTTAGTCACAAGGACATTCTCTTTTTGGCAAATAATTACAAAATTACCTTCATTTTCTTTCTAGAAATTCTTTTAACGAAGTCGTCAATTTTTGTTAACACACATTTTAGCGATTAAATGTTAAAGGGACTGTCTTTGTATTTTCACGATTTACTTGAAAAATGTTTAATTCTGATAATTTCCTCTAATGTTTATGCACCGGAAATACTTAACGGACCACAACTGAAAATAAAAAGGTTTGAATGAGATCAACATTCAACATGGATGTCTTGTTCATTTTTGATCAGATCGAGCTTTTAAGGGTACCGTTGTGAATCAGACATGCCTCTGTTTTTAAACGGAGAGTCGCTTGTCATTTCGGCTTCAGTCTAACGAGGTTATAGTGTATAGATGATGTACTGCGTACGCTAATCTTTATTATTTGTAAAGGCCGGGAACTATATCGAGAGCGCACGGCATATTTGATAATTATTATAAGGAGATTCTGGCCTAACCTATTGTTATATCATTATTAGTAAACAGTTGTTAATGAACAGTACAGCTAACTAAGCACTATATCTTTAGTCCCTTAAAGAATTGATAATAATACTATAAATTGATTAGGAAAAGAATGAATCAGCTGAACACAGTTCAATGGAGAACTTCTGTCTAGTAGCATGGACTTAGAAAATCAGGTAGTATCTAGATTATTCAACTACATTTCATCTTAATCATTTTTCAAGAAGATGTCTTTACATGTTTAAAACCAAAAAAGAAATATTTCTTTAAGAGTTGCTCACATGCCATTTTAACGATTGTTTGTCTGGTTTGTTAGAATATTCATTATTACTAATTGACGTCAGAAATGTCTCTTCAGTGTTCACATGAACCAATTAGTTTTTGTTGTATAGTGAATTATAACTCCGTCATGTCACGTCATGAAGTTCTCTATTTCACACAATATTATTTTCTTATTGTCATGTAACACAAATACCAATAAATGATTCACACAAAGCAGAATACAACGAGGGACTACCTATCGGCAGAATTGGCTGAAATGTACAAGGTGTCCCAATAAACATGGCAAGATTATTTTTATATCGTCTTTGTAAATGATTTTTTGATTAAGTTTGGCAATACCAACATGGACAAAGTTGTAGGTATTTCGTCTGCTTGAGTTAAGATTTTGTTCATGTTTTGATTGCATACCGTTGTACTTAGTAAAATGAGAAATTACCGTATTCAACCACAGTACAATTGTTCTCCTTCACTGTTTATCTTGCAGAAATGTTAAAGAACATCACAAAACGTTTTAATGAATAAAAGAAGGCTCTATCCTTCACATAGAATATACCCTATCAGACGTAACTTAATATTAACCTTTAAAACTAGGTAGTACAACTCTTAACTAAGGCGCTTTTGAATTAATCTCCTAATCCGCATTTACATTGGCCTATTGGGACACCCTGTATAATATATATAATCAATGATATTGGATTTGTGGGATTGACAAAATACAGTAGTATTTATTTATTTGTCAACAATTCATCCTTTTAACTTGATATATTCATTTTTCAATTGCGTATTTTTCCAAACCATTTATTTCATCTATTGTTGTAATTTTTATCTTCAATTTAGGATTACCTCGTGAAACCAAGATTAAAGAAACTCAGCGGCGAAGATTTAAAGGTGGGGATTAATTCTCACAAGCTTTGTAAAATCAAATATGTTTTTAAAAAATTGTCTTATTATATTTTGAAAGTGAAAGATTCTTGACTCTACTTGCCTTTAAATCAAAAAAAAAGTTTTTCTAAGATTCACATCTTTAACAACAAAAAAACAGTTTGTGTTTGGTTGATATTTTTCCACTTGCCATTTGTTACTTCCAACATTCAATTTATTTGTAAGTGCACTCTCACCTTAGAATTTAATTTTTGATTATTATTAATTTTTATTTCTATTCCAGGGGTCGGAGGAGAGTTGTGAGGAGTTAATTTCTAGAAAGAAAATGAAGGTAATTTTGTAACTTATTAATTTTGTAATTTTGTAATTTTGTAATTTTGTTGAAAATTCAAACCCCAAACTTCAGTATTGAAAGAACAAGAAATCACAGGAAAGATTTTGATCTTTTTTTATTTATATTTTAGGTCTTAGATATTTTCTTAAAAGGCGGTTTCCCAAGGACGATAATAATATAATAATTTCCAAAGTGGCAATTTCCAAGGGGCAATTGCCCAATTGTGCAATTTCTCAAGCGACTATGACAGACTTGGGTAATTGCCGCTTGGGAAATTGCACAGTTGGGAAGTTTTCACTTTTGAAAATACCCTGGGCAAGTTGCCTATTGGTTAACATCGATATTAATTTTCCCTAAATATAAAACATCTTGCAAACAAATTGTTCAACAATTACTGGAAATAATAAATAGTCTTATCGTTGATCAGTCAAAGGTTTAAAGGGTACCTTTGTCAATCAAATATACTACTCTTTTAATGCAAACATCATGTTTTACATACACTAAACAGATTAGTTCCGTCAATTTAAATTTTCCAATCTTGGATTTAACCAAAACTAAGACGGGTTAAAAATATTTAAAAAATAATCATGAATTATTTCTCAGATTTTCGGAAAAGGGGACTTTGGTGGGTTCGGAACTTAAAGGGCCTGTAAGCGTACTTTTAAATGATCCTGCAAACAAAGATAGGATTGTCCGATTTGAAACCTTTATTTGAAAAAAAATGTGTAAGCTAATGTCGTTTTTCTGACTCAATAAGTGTTTAATTCTGTGAATTTTTCCAGTTATTCTCACAAACAGGAGATGCGCAAGTTACTTTTACATCGAAACACGAATGAAAATAAACCAAAACATGCGTATCCTTTTCATGCTTTATCAGACAAAGCTTTAAAGGGTAATTGTGTAAATCGTGCTTTACCATCTTTGCATGAAAGATCCCTTAAATTTACGCTTAAATTCCCTTTAAAAGAAAATAAACAAGTTCTCCATAAAGTAATTTTCTTAATTTATGCCAGGTGAAGAGAAAGTGGGAAGTTTTCCCTGGAAAAAATACATTTTTTTGTAACGGTAGACTAGTGATGGGCAGACAGGTTAGTCTTCATTATCAAACCCTGGCAGAAATGGTAGACTAGTGATGGGCAGACAGGTTAGTCTTCATTATCAAACCCTGGCAGAAATGGTAGACTAGTGATGGGCAGACAGGTTAGTCTTCATTATCAAACCCTGGCAGAAATGGTAGACTAGTGATGGGCAGACAGGTTAGTCTTCATTTTCAAACCCTGGCAGAAACGGTAGACTAGTGATGGGCAGACAGGTTAGTCTTCATTTTCAAACCCTGGCAGGAATGAAAAATTCTACATTAACTTGTTCCAGAAAAAAGAGAGGGGTTGAAGAAAGAAGGAAAATATGATTTTTTTCAGCATAAAATATATAATTCAGGAATTCGTGAAGGATGGGGGGCTTAATTTTTTATCTTTTTTCCGTAGGGGCACAGCCCCACTCGAGACCAAATACGTCTTGTCCAACTAGAGTTGATTTATTCATTGGTTGGTTCGTTAATTGCTTAGTTTATTAAGCATCAACTTGCAAGTTTTTACATTTTTTAAAATGTTTTTTTTTCAAAAATACGTTCATGAAAAATATAAATCTTTTCATTGATAATGATTATTGTTAAGGCTGGTATATTCTATGTGACCATATTTCTTGTTGTGGGAACTTCAACGCTCTTCTTCGCTGTGGATTGCCCTTATCTAGCAACTGAGATAACTCCAGGTACAAAAACATAACACAACGGATTTTATATATCACAGTTCATCTAAACCAATAGCACGTCTTCATTAAAGTTAATATTATGTTAATTACTCTAAAACTTTTCTCCTAGCTAATAAATGATTTTTCATGACTTTAAAAAGTTTAGTAAATCTATTCTCCTGAGTCTGAAACTAAAGAACGAAAAGTTTTGACTTAAATTTGAAGTTCATGGTTAAATGCCACTTCTGACTTAATTTAAACCTAAACTTTAACCGTGAGGTTAAATATTTAAACTCGTGGTTAAATATTTAACTCGCCAAAATCGACGAGTTAAAATAAAAAACAGCTGATTACCGAATACCGATACTTACGTAATAATTCTCCGTAAATCCTTTTCTCTGATTGGTTCAGATTTTTCCCAGGAAATTCAAATTTAAAATTGAGAAAGTTTAATATTTAAGTAGCTATTCATTATTTTACAGAACTTTTAACCTCGAACTTAAAATTCGCGCATTCTTTAGTTTTAGACTCAGGTTGTATCCTATTTATTTAAAAATTATAACTAAAAAACTCTGAAATAAGAAGACGACTTTTAGAATCAAGTTTTAACTTTTAAAAGTTTAATGAGCATGATGCACAGCAATTGTGCAGTTTGAATCGACCTCTTACACTTAAGTATTGTTATAATTTCGTCTTTCTATTCCACTGTAAAATACAGTGTGTTCCACAGCATATTAGATATAGTCTATAACTTTAAGTTAAGATTTAAGGGACTATCAGAATTTTTTTTAATGAATCTACAAAAATGTACAAGGCTAATATACAAATTTTCTTGCAGAAATGCCAATTTTTTGCGTATTTTGTGCATTGTGCGTATTTTGGAGTTAAAGCCCGGAGATCCAATATGACAGGAACGCTCTGTAGTTTGTTTCTTATACCATTCTTAATCTTTCATATTTTAGCTATTCCTGTAGTAGCGGGGGTTCTTTTTATATTTGTACTCTCTAACCTTCTAAAAACATCTCTCTCCGACCCTGGAATTATTCCTAGGTAAGATTTATTAAGTTTTTGTAATCAAAGGCGGGCCCCCCTGGAAAATTTGGGGGACGTTCCCTTCCCTGGAAAAAATAGAGCACAAGAAGAGAGAGCAGGCACCTTCTAGTACTCAAGTTTTGATTATGAAGAATAGATTAAAAAAAGATTTTCACTCCATGTGATTTTTTTATCAAATCCAAATCTTGCTTGCACACTTTCCACCTTCCACCCCCCAGCTGGTTTTAACATAAAATTAACCAAATTCCAGGAGGGGGAAATTCTTCGTGTAGAAGAATTCAATTATTCTAAGCTCACATGTTGATATTAGCTGTTTTAGTAAGAACTTATTTATACCAGAAAAAAAGAAGAAAGTAGACAAGAAAGTTAAATTAGATAAACTTTGGCATGTTCATTATTTGGTATATATCCATTATCCAACGACATATGAGAACCTGATTTACTAATAAAATTATCGGATGATCTAAAATAAGATTTCGGTATTATCAGCTATTGCTTGTCTGTCTGTCTGTTCGCTTGACTGTCTGTTTGTTACTAATAAACGTCAAATTGGCTGAACCGATCGGGCCCAAATTTTGTCTGGTTCCTCACATGACCCCAGGAAAGATGAAAAATAAAAATTGAAAAAAAATTTGAAAAATTGTTGTTATTTTTCGTTGAAAATGCGCCAATCTGAAAAAAAAAATTAAATGGCCGACTTTCAGAGAAACAGTTTAAAGCTAAAATTATAAAAGCCTAGTTTATTAATAAAATAGCAGCATTAATAGCTCATTTCAAAAATACTTTGTGGAATTATCCGCTGATCTTAAAGAAAATTATAGAATAATTAGCTGCTCGTTTATAAAATGGCGGCATTATCAGCTGATTTTTCAGGGCATCTCTGGCAGAGGCGGAATATATTGAGAGAGAAATAGAACAGCCAGGGGTTGGTTCAGCCTACAGACCTCCCCCTAGAACTAAAGAGATACAGGTAGCTTAAGGCATTTAAAAACTTACAGTAATTATCAAGATATTTTCCTCAAAATCATGAATCAAAATAAAATTTAGTTCTTATGACGAAAACAAAAACGTTTGAATTTCTGAAGATTTGGTACGAAAATGAAAAAAAAACCTGATATTTAAAGATGTTTAACCAAGTCAATTTTAAACCGAAAATTTCTAGATTTCCGTATTTCTGTATTTATGTTTTTAGTTAAACCTTTTTGACTGATTTTCTGTGAAAAAAGTTATACTATTTACTATTTACTATTAAAAGTTATACTTTATACTATTTAGTTTAAAAATGTTAAATTAATCCTGTATTTTTTCACTTTCAATATATTTTAATTCACTTTTTTACTGACGGTTATTCTGTAAAATTTTTGAAAAGATTTTATAAAATTAAATATTTAGGAATTCGCTGATAATTTCTTAAATAATTTTTTTAAATGGTTTAGTGGCTCAGGCCAGAGACAGCTGGCCAGTGACAAGTGACCACTGATTAATCAATGAATTGTGAACTCACCAATTGACTGAAAGAAAATATGTGGCATTTGTCCCATCACTGTATGATTATCGGTTATTATTGATTGATAAATTGCATTTTGAATTAATTGCTTATAATTGATTAGATGCGTGATGGATTTTTTTACTGTTTGATTGATTGATTGATTAATTGATTACACTGCACTACCCTGCATGCAGCAAAACTACAATACAATACTATTTAGAAAAAATTGTTGATTGATTGATTGATTGAATGATTGATTGAATGATTGATTGTAGGTGAAGGGACAGCCAATGAAATTAAAATACTGCTTCACATGCAAAATATTTAGACCACCTAGGTAAGTTATTAGTTCTTCTATTAATGTAATCCTTTTGACAAACAATTTCTAAAGTTTTTAAATTTTATTTTTAGGGCTTCTCACTGTTCAATTTGTGATAACTGTGTGGAAAGATTTGACCATCATTGCCCTTGGGTTGGCAATTGCGTAGGTAATACTTGGGTTTGTAATTGCGTAGGTAATACTTGGGTTTGTAATTGTGTAGGTAATACTTAGGTTTCTAATTGCGTAGGTAATACTGTGGTTGGTAATTGCGTCTGGTACTTGGGTTGGTAATTGCGTAGGTAATACTTGGGTTGGCAATTGCGTCGGAAATACTTGGTTTGACAGTTACGTGGTAAATACTTTGGTTGGCAATTGCGTAGGTATTACTTGAGTTACAATTGCGTAGTTTAAACTTTGGTTGACAATTGCGTAGGTACAACTTGGGTCAAAATTGCGTAGGTCATATTTAGATTGGCAATTTGCAACTGCGTATGTTATACAATTGCAAATTAAATTAAGAAAGTGACGTTAATAGGCAACTTGTGATTTGATAGAGTAAATTGTTTAAGGGCGCCAATAATTCAATAATTTATAACAATGATTTTTCATTGAGAAAAATTTACTTCTCAAATTAAAAAAGATATTTTAATTTTTTATTTGTCTAAAATATGCATCATAATTGGAATTTACTATTTGAGACAAATGCCATTTTTTCCTACATTGTCTTGATTTTGGAAACGATTTTTGAAAATTTCATTTGCAATTGTAATATTAATTTTCTCATTAGGGAAACGTAACTACAGATATTTCTACCTTTTCCTTGTGTCTCTCTCCTTTCATTGTGTTTTCATCTTCACCTGCTCTCTCACACACCTAGTTCTCAGATCAAAGGAGATCAATCCGGAAAAGGTAAGATTGATCAATCGATCGGATTGATGAGATTGATCATTTTAAGATAAAGTTTCGATTTAAGAATAGAGGCCGGCGTTTGCAGAGATATTTTTTTGATTAAAGAATTTTTCTAACTAAATTGATTTCCTAAAAAATGAGGGAGAGGAGATTTCCTGAAATAATGTTTCCTTTATTAATGAGAAAGGATGAATATTGAAAAATAGGGTAAAATATGCTCAAATGCTGATAGATGAGGGATTTCCTGATAAATGCTAAAAGAGGGGAGAGATTTCATACTGAATGATGGCAGGGGGATTAATTGACAGATGAAAGCAGGAGGATTTATTGACAAATGAGGCAGGGGGATTAGTTGACAAATGAAGGCCGGAGGCTTTATTGACTACATGAGGCAAGGGGATTTATTGACAAATGAGTGCAGAGGGATTTTTTGACAAATGATGGCAGGAGGATTTATTGACAAATGATGGCAAGAGGATTTATTGACAAATGATGGCAGGATGATTTTTTGACAAATGATGGCAGGAGGATTTATTGACAAATGATGGCAGGAGGATTTATTGACAAATGATGGCAGGAGGATTTATTGACAAATGATGGCAGGAGGATTTATTGACAAATGAAGGAAGGGGGATTTATTGACAAATGAAGGCAGGATGATTTATTGACAAATAGAGCAGAGGGATTTATTGACAAATGAGGGCAGAGGGATTTATTGACAAATGAGGGCAGAGGGATTTATTGACCAATAAGGGCAGTGGATTTTATTGACAAATGAGGGCATGGGATTTATTGACAAATAGAGCAGAGGGATTAATTGACAAATGAGGGCAGAGGGATTTATTGACAAATGAGGGCAGAGGGATTTATTGACAAATAAGGGCAGTGGATTTTATTGACAAATGAGGGCATGTGATTTATTGACAAATAAGGGGAGGGGGATCTATTGAGAAATGAGGGTAGGGGGATTATTTGCCAAGTGAGGGTGGAATGGGTGTATTAAACTTGGATATCTTCTGTATTTACTGTTCTCAGCAGTTTATGAGGAAAGGATATTTCTTCCATTGAAAGATAATGGCGAACAATATATTTTATTGGAGCTCGTTAAATATGTGATCATATACTTTACATTCAACCAGATACAGGGGGATTGGCGGGACCAGGGGGAGGGGGAAGGTTTATTTCAAAACGTTAACTTTATAAAGTTGACATTTAACAGAAAACTTCTTAAATAATTAAAAATACGAGAAACACTGTTGAACGAGTAAAATTGTTCTATGATTATTGTATTCTGTACTTAGCGCGGGGGAGACTTTTCTAACTTAATTATTACACATTTTATTTTGATACAGTCATAATCAGAAAGACCCGGAATCATGCAGAGATTTACATAAAAATCTCTGGCAATTTTAAATGCTCAAAAAAGGCAGACCACATTTTGGAAATGGCAGAACTAGGACTATTTTGTGATTATCGTTTCATCAATCATATTTGTAAAAATAGATTGTAAAGTAGTCTCATTAATTGTAAATTAATTCCGGGTCTTTCTGAAGTTTTTTCTTAATAAAAATTTAACTACCATTTACCACCCCTACTTGTGCAAAGGTCAAATTATATTTTTCCTTTGCCAAGAAGAAATGTGACGTCATGAAGAGAAGTTTAGGGATGGGGGGTGGGGGGTTGATATGTTAATTGTTTTTTTTTTCATATTCTAATTTCTGAATAATTTATTTTTCATATTTAGTCTCAGTTCCTTGAAGCTATCCGAGATACCCCTGCTTCTGTTATAGTCTGCGTAATCTGTTTTCTCAGTATTTGGTCAATAATAGGACTAGCAGGTCATTATACAATAATAGGACTATCAGGTTCTTATACAATAATAGGACTAGCAGGTTCTTATACAATAATAGGACTAGCCGGTTATACAATAATAAGACTAGCAGGTTATACAATAGTAGGACTAGCAGGTTATACAATAATAGGACTAGCAGGTCATTATACAAGAACAGGACTAGCAGGTTATACAATAGTAGGACTAGCAGATTATACAATAATAGGACTAGCAGGTTATACAATAATAGGACTACCAGGTTATACAATAATAGGACTAGCAGGTTCTTATACAACAATAGGACTAGCAGGTTCTACAATAATAGGACTAGCAGGTTATACAATAATAGGACTAGCCGGTTATACAATAATAGGACTAGCAGGTTATACAATAATAGGACTAGCAGGTTATACAATTATTGGACTACCAGGTTATACAATAATAGGACTAGCAGGTTCTACAATAATAGGACTAGCAGGTTATACAATAATAGGACTACCAGGTTATACAATTATAGGACTACCATGTTATACAATTATAGGACTAGCAGGTTATACAATTATAGGACTAGCAGGTTATACAATAATAGGACTAACAGGTTATACAATTATAGGACTACCAGGTTATACAATTATAGGGCTAGCAGGTTTTAAGAATTTACCAGTAACAATGAATTTACTTTATTGCTGAAGAGTCCAAACGCTGTGCACTTCAAACAATTTCAGGTTTAATGACTTGAAAATTTAGTTCTAACAATTTAGCAAATATTAAAAATCCCTGTGGAGTCGTTTTTAAGAAATCAAGTGAATTGACCAGTGATGATGATGATAGTTCAGAAAAAAAGGCTAAACAGATTTGGGGTTTATCTACAATCTCCAGAAAACTTCTGAGTCAAACGTCTTTTTTAGAGCATCCCCGATTAGAAAACGCACACTTTAAACATTTGACTGAACAAGGATATCGGATATATTCCTTATTAATCTACTGAAACTTTTTTGCTTAACACTTTGTTTGAAACCTATTATATATTTAAGAAATATCAACAGTTACTTTCTTAAAGTGGCAGATTTAATAAGAATTTACTGCTGAATGTTTGAAAACGCTTTTAACTCAAAGCAATCGATTTACGTAATTAGCAGATAAGCTGTTTGAGTTCAGACTGTTTACGATGAATAATATTTTTTATTATTTTTAGGATTTCACACCTACCTCACCTCAAATAATCTTACCACAAACGAAGATATTAAGGAATTTCAGTTTTTAATATAAAATTATTTGCAACCAATATAAATGTACCTAAATTAAAGTTGGAAAACAAAAACGAAACTGAGGTAGTTAAACTATATCTAGCTAGTTGAACTACCCGATGGCGGTCTGGGTTCTCCAAACTGGGGGGGGAGGGCTTTCAGATCTCTCTCCTGATACTTCTGATACTACTCTTTACTCGCAAATTCTAAACTTTGGCCATTCAATTCTTTCCAGTTTTTTTCTTCTTAAAATTTTATTTTTAAACTGATCTTAGGGTTCTTTTTCAAACAAGAGAAATTCTTCCAACTTTAACCCATACAGGTAATACATTCTTACACTAAGAATTAATATTATTGAAATTATCATTCATAATTTTATAATAATATCATAAAGTGATAATTATAATAATTTTTATCATTATCAATATTTTAATCAATAGCATTATTATTATTATCAATATCAATGTATATTATTATTATCATTATCATTAAAATTATAATTAGCATTATCATTATCAATATTACAATCCTAATCCAAATCTTTATCATTAATATTATCATCGTCATTATAATTATTATTATCATTATTATTATCTTTATCATTATCATTATTATTATCATTATCATTAGTATTATCATTATCATTATCATTATCATTATCATTATCATTAAATAACTGTTGTATGGTCCTGTGTGGTCCAAATCCTCCCTCACTTATAGACGCAAGGTAGAAATTAATATTTTATTCATTGCTAGCTTAAGAATCCAACGTGGTCCAGGGTACTCGTAGTTACTCACGCCATTTACCCGCGCTTGGTAGTAAATTGCGAATTTAGCTATTATTCCCTTCAAACCTAAAATCTCAATAATAACAATCCCGTAGTTCTCCCAAGTTACCCAATTAAAATTTTAGGCAAATTGTTCAAGGGGTTCTCGAGGTGTGATCAGACATCCAATCCAACTGAGATTTCAACTTGTTTTATATAGATATTTTGTAAGAAAACTAATTATTTGGATTTCACTAGATGAAATTTATTAGGAAAAATGTGAAAAGACCAGACATGTCGTTTTCGATTGCTTGACCAAATTCTGTGATGTAATTTTGTGATGTGACCACCCCCCTTCTGGGTAAAAGGGGGGCACGAACCCCCAAGCTACGGGTCTCTTATCTAGTTCATTCTCATGATACTTCCTGAAAACTAATGTTGACATGTACCAGGGGAATAGCCCTGCCCCAGGGTGAGGGTGTGAGCAGCTATGGAACTGTAGTGGGTGAGGGTGGAGGGGGTGGAGGACTATTTCATGAGGTTAGAACTCCCTCCTCAGGAGTACCTAGTATAGCACAGTTACATAGGCATCTCTCTAACACAACACAAGGAACACAAGCATATAATTACTTTACGAACAAACCAATATTTATGTTTTTAAAAGAATTTACGAACGAAGTTTTGACCGATTGGTCAAATTATTTGTCGGACCTGATATGGTTTGTTCAATGCATGTTAGGATTTAATAAAGGAAGAATATTTTAATCATGTCAGAAGAATGAATTCTTGCAGATAAAACGGTGATCTAAAGTTTAAAGCCAAATGCACGCGAAGCGCCCGAGAAGCCTGCTACAAACTAGACTTTTTAAGCTCTTTGTCTGGATATTTTAAAAGATGCATTTTATTTTTTCTTTCTTTCACCTAAAAAATATGTCTGAGAAGTTTAAATTAATAATTCTATATTTTTTTCAAATAATTTCTAAGTGTGCTGTGTTTCTACAGATGTAATAGATAAGGCCCCTACGTTGTCTGGCTCTCCGGTAAGCACACCTCCGGGAGGAGCCTCCGAGCCTCATGGAGTCCCACGTTTGGCCTCCGAACCTCTTTCTGGAGGACTCCCTCGAACCTCCCCGTCCAACAATACACTCAGCTCACAAAACCTTTCACTTCATGACAGTAATATCAAGGTTGGCTAATTAGTAATTCAAGAACAATTTTTCAACATTAGAAAAATTCCTGAAATTGTCATCTTAGACCGATAAAATTCCGAAATAAGATTAACATTTGAAAGATCAGATAGGCTTTATTTCTTTTATGTTTTGGGAGATTTAGTCTGTCTCACAAACGGTTTACTAGATCATTGATATTTTGTTAAAAAGTATCTTTTTTGTTCTTAGTTTTCTTAGAGAAAAAGAAAAAAAATTCCTGAATTTTAATTTCATTTCTTGAATTTTATTTTTATTTCTTGAATTTTTTTTTATTTAAGATAAGCTTTCCAAGAATTTGATATGGGCTCTCTGAAAACAACTTTAACCTTTTTTTTCAAACACACATAAATGCTTTTCTAATATTTTCTTTGGTTTAATCAAAGTTCTTAAAATTTCAATTAAGTATTTTCTTTAATTTAAAAAAAAAATATTTTTCTATATTTGATATTATATATTTAGGATATAAAGGAGACCCTGGACTTGGACCAAACAACTATGATAGGAAACATGTTTCATCATTAAAAACGATATTAACAAAAACAAATTTCAATATGTTATGTTCAGATTAGTTTGGTCATGGGCGGCTATTTTCTAAAATATATGTATTAATGATATAACTTTTTTTTAATGCAAAATATTGGTTTATTTCCAGTTTGTGATATTTTCTACTAAATTATACCCATAGAAACTGAACCGAATTGAATGGAAAGTATTTCATTTAATCTTGGAACAAAACATGAAAGAAAATGCTGTAAACCCAAAGAAAACTAATTTTAGAGTTATTTTGTATTATTTTTGAAGAAGAAAAAAATTATTTAGTCCTCTTGCCTTTTTTAAATTAGAAAATTTTGTATTCGAGAATGTTTTCTATTTTTTATCCCAAAAGCTGAGATAATGATTTTTTAAAATTACAATGAAAATGAAGGTAAGATGGAGATAGATAGATAGATAGATATTTATGATTAAAGTACATAATTTTACATAGATATATTCTTTAAACTATCATTTTTATGACGGATTTTCCAAGCCAACATTGGCCGTCTTTAATGGCAAACCCGGATGTAATTGAATGATATAATTTTTTAATTTTTAAAAGACCGGTATTAAAGGGAAAGAAAAGGAGGACAGGAATTAAAGGAAAGAAAGGGATGACAGGTATTAAAGGGAAAGAAAAGGAGGGCAGGTATTAAAGGGAAAGAAAGGGAGGGCAGGTATTAAAGGGAAAGAAAGGGAGGACAGGTATTAAAGGGAAAGAAAGGGAGGACAGGTATTAAAGGAAAGAAAGGGAGGACAGGTATTAAAGGTAAAGAAAGGGAGGACAGGTATTAAAGGGAAAGAACGGGATGACAGGTATTAAAGGGAAAGAAAGGGAGGACAGGTATTAAAGGGAAAGAACGGGATGACAGGTATTAAAGGGAAAGAAAGGGAGGACAGGTATTAAAGGGAAAGAAAGGGATGACAGGTATTAAAGGGAAAGAAAGAGAGGACAAAGTTATAATGGAAAGGGAGGGAGGACAGGTATTAAAGGGAAAGAAAGGGAGGACAGGTATTAAAAGGTAAAGAAAGGGATAACAGGTATGAAAGGGAAAGAAAGGGAGGACAGAGTTTAAAGGGAAAGAAAGGGAGGACAGAGTTTAAAGGGAAAGAAAGGGAGGACAGGTATTTAAGGTAAAGAAAGGTATGACATGTATTAAAGGGAAAGAAAGGGAGGACAAAGTTTAAATGAAAAGGGAGGGAGGACAGGTAATAAAGGGAAAGAAAGGGAGGACAGAGTTTAAAGAGAAAGAAAGGGAGGACAGGTATTAAAGGGAAAGCAAGGGAAGACATAGCTTAAAGGGAAAGAAAGGGAGGACTGGAATGAAAACTAAAATAATGATAGAATGGGTAAAAAATGAAGGAAAGGAATGTAACGGTTGAAAGAGAATTAATAGAAAAACTCTTCCACAGAATTTTTTGTATTATTATTATTAGATAGTATCACTAAACGGAGGGGGGGGGGACTATATCAGAGTTTAACGAAAAGTGCTGAAAATGTTGATCTGCAGGGTCAGCTCTAGACCTAGATTCACTAGATGGAGACCAGGAACAGCAAATACAAGAACAACGACGTAAGGAGAAGGAACAGTTTTCTCATGTCGGCTCACAGGTATGTTTTCTTTATTTTATTCGTTCTACATCTTTTAACAATTCTTTCTCTGAAACTTTCAAGAATTTTGCTTCCTAAATATCATTTTTTATTTTCTCCACAAAATCATTTAATTTAACAAAAAACTTAATTGAGCCTTAATCAAATAGGCCTCAAAAAAATGAATTAGATGTTCTTGATCGTATTGTTGAATGTATTTAAGGGAAATATGAACATTTTGTATATTTCTCAACGTCCTACACTCTTCATTTATGCCCAGAACTTAAAAAGAGAGAGGAGAGAAACCCGTTTTTATTCTTCTAATTTTTATTTTAGATGAAGTTATCTAAGCTGTCAGCTGTGTGACGTAGTGTTCAGCGCCCCAGCAAACCCTCCAGTTTGCTACGAAGGGTAAGCACTAACCAAGATGTATTATTAAACATTTTCAAATAAATAAATTCACGTTTTCAAATGTTTTACAGTGTTATGAGCAAAAAACTGCAAGTCACTTCATGGCGAAACCACAAATAAAAATAAACAGTTTTAAATGTTTAAAATAATGGATAGCTTATGTATTCCTGACCAGATTAAACTTTTAAGGTTACCGTTGTGCAAAGGTTATGCCACTCTTGTTCGATTGAAATTACAGTCCCCTTAAAGGGACTGAACTCTTTATTATCATGTGACCCTCCATTCAAAGAAAGCATTTCCCGATTTACAGCGGAAGGTCCTTTAAAGTTTTGGCTGAACAAGTGTAAATCAAATATCCGCGTTTTTCTTTCTTTAAACTGATTATTTTAATTTGCGGGTTCTCTACAAAAATTAATTTTTCATTTATTGCTTATAAAAAGCAACGGAGAAATTGTCAAGGGTACCGTTGTAAATCGGGCATTTCATCTTTGCATGCAGGGTCACTTGAAATTACGCCAACTTGACCCTTTAAGAAGTAACTTATTATATTGTTAAATAATTAATTGTTAAGTAATATATTATATTGTTAAATCAAGGTTTCCATTTTTTAACGATCTTTTTCATAATTGAGTTTTTACATTGATTATTGGGTTCTTTTGAAACCCCAATGTTAAATTTCATTAACTTTGTAAATATAATTTTAGGGCGCTGGGATTAAGGTGTTGAAGATAGCAAATCCATGTGACGAAGTGTAGAAAATCCACGGAACTGATAAAAAGAAATGCACACAAGGTTTCGTAAACCTGATTTCTGTGCGCCAATGCCAACATACATCTAAAGTGACATAAATGGCATGAAAGAACTAGAAGACAAAGTTATCATAGATTTCAACCTTGAAAAGTGAAAAGTGAAATTTATAACATTTTATATCATGTACGAACTGCCTGTTTTAAGAAATAGGCTTTGAAGCATTTATTTAGACTGAATATTTCGTTAAATCCGAATTCCTAAGCTCTTGATTAAATCCTACAGATTGTAGAGAAAATAGAAGAAACGAAAGAGGTTGAAGAATATTTGTACAAAATAAGCTCTAAACGTACAGCTTAGGAACCAGAAAAAAATATTATTATGTTTTTCCTTTTTTATAATTATAAAACGTAGCTGAGGATATTAGTCCCAATTGAACTATTTATAAAATTAAAAGCCTTGAACATTTTAGAGACATTTCATTTGCAACAATAGAAAATTACACAATCTTCAGGGACAGGTCTTAGGATAAGGAAGAACAAAGACAACATTCATTCTACATTTCTGGTTCTTACTGTACACATTTACCACGCACAGAGCCAATACTTACATGCACACACAGGGCCATAAAGTTAATGAGAACAAATAAGCCTAAGTGCAATCTCTAATGATCTTAAATATATTTAAATTTTAATAATAATTGGTCTAAATTATTGTAAACTCTGCAAGTTAATTATGTACGTTTATGCAAAATCTTATTTGTATCACCAAACATAAACACACAAACTCTAAATCTGCACCGTTAAGCACTGAAGTTTAGTTAAAGAAATCATTTCTCTCTTATTAAATCCTGTAAAAATTTAACAAGCATATTTTTGAAACAGGCCTTTGATGGATTTTTATTACAGATTAACGTTGTTAAAGGGTAAATCGCCATATCTTGTTCTCTTTAATTGTAAAACCATTTTTACTCGCATTAACTGTACTTTCTTTAATTTAAAGTAGATTTAGGATACAATTTGAAATAAAGAAAGGTCAAAGTAAAAAAACAGAAACAAATTTAATGCAGGTGATCATATTGACCGTTATTTTATCATATAGTGTACAGTGTACACTGTACACTTCACCTTGTTCATTTTTGTCTTCAATCTTTGTTTTACATTTGAGGAATTATGCTGATAAATTACATTACACACTAACCTAGCACTGTAAATTGTATCCTTAAAAGTGACTCAAACTTAGACAAATGATTGGTTATTAATTTTTCTTCTCTAATATTTATTAAATTGTTAGAAATATACTTAATGTCTAATCTTCTTTATTAGTTTCTTTTTAATAAATATTCTTAATTAATAGTGTTTTTTTTTGTAACAAATTAAAATTCTGAGTTTAGCAGTAAGTAGAATTATGAAGGTAAAGGGATCCCAGAAGAGGGAGGGAACCCCAAGAAGCCATGAGCCTCCGCTATGCAGACACGAGCCTCCCAGAGTTGCTAGGCAGACCAAGCCTCCGCTTTGCAGAAATGAGCATGCGCAACACATCAAAATGTGCCTGTGTAATACAGGAGGTTTTTTAAAACTAAAGTTTAAATAAAAGATTTTTTTGAAAATTTTAGACACAGTGGCAAGAGAGGCTTCTCAAAGATGAGTATATTAATTATCATAAATAGTGCTTAATTATGACTAATAAAGTGGTATCTAAAACTTTAAACATTCAATTTAAGTCTAAAAAAATTGTATTTATTATTTAAATCTTAACATTTTTCAAAAAAAAGGTATTGTTTAAATCAAAGATTACAACAAAATAAACCAAGTTTCTCCAGAAATTTTTCTCCAAATATCTTCCTTTCGCCGTAATAAATGTTTAAAGTTTTAATCTAATTCTTATAAACCACTTTATGAGTCCATATATGTTTCTAATCATGACAATCAATGAACAACTCTAATCTTTAGTAAAATTCTTATGCTACTACGTCAAAAAAAATTACTAAAAGTTTTCATCACTCATAAAAACCAAGATTTAAAAGAAAGCTGTGCTGTATGGTGGAGGCTCGCTTACTGCATAGCGGAGGCACGGTCCGCAAAGCGTAGGCTTTGTCTGCATAGTGGAGGCTCGGTCTGCCTAGCGAATCTGGGAGGCTCGATGTCTGCATAGCAGAGGCTCATGGCGTCCGGGTGTTCCCTCCCTACCCAGAACGATCAGTATTTTAAATAACTGAATATCCTGTTAATTTAGCTTTTTTTATTTATTTCCATAAACATTTAAATTTGAAATCGCCCACTCAGAAGAGCTCATTTTAGAATACTCTAACAAGTGACAAGTTGATTTTAGAATATTCGGACAAGCTGATTTTAGAATACTGTGACAATAGAATACTCTGACAAGTTGATTTTAGAATACTCTGACAAGTTGATTTTAGAATACTCTGACAAGCTGATTTTAGAATACTCTAACAAGTTTATTTTAGAATACTTTGACAAGTTGATTTTAGAATACTTTGACGAGATGATTGATCTGATTTAAAAACACTGCTAAGCTCGGTTGAAAACATTGCTAAGCTGGGTTGGAAACACTGCAAAAAGCTTAGTTTAAAACACTGCTAAGCTGGGTTGAAAACACTGCTAAAATCTAAGTTTAAAACACTGCTAAGCCGGGTTGAAAACACTGCTAAACTGGGTTGAAAACCCAACTGAAAGCTAAGTTTAAAACATTGCTAAGCTGGGTTGAAAACACTACTGAAAGCTAAGTTTAAAACACTGCTAAGCTGGGTTGAAAACACTGCTAAAAGCTAAGTTTAAAACACTGCTAAGCTGGGTTGAAAACACTGCTAAAAGCTAAGTTTAAAACACTGCTAAGCTGGGTTGAAAACACTGCTAAAAGCTAAGTTTAAAACACTGCTAAAAGCTGAGTTATAAACTCTGCTGATCTGGGTTAAAAACACTCGGCTAAGCTTTTACATTTTTGTTTTTAGGATAAGAATATTGCAAAGTTTAATAAAAACAAACTTGAACATATAATAATTTTGAAATCTTGTAAGTTCTACTAAATTTAATAAAACGATTTAAAACAACAAGACTAACTATGATCTGAGTTCTAAACACTGCTAAGATGAGTTAAAAACTATATTGAGCTGAGTTTAACTTCAACAGTTAAGTCCTCCGTATTTCAATATTTATTCTAGAGCTGACTGTTCAGTGTCCAGCGGCTGATGAACTGGAACATTTTATTGGATAATAAAATTTATATTGTTTTCTCCTTCTGAATTTATATTAGTAAATTCCAAATATTTTAGTAAATATTAATTTTTTAACTTTTCTTTTTTTGAACTCAGCGTTGTTAAGACGATTCTTTCGATTTATCAAAACTAAAGAAAGTCTCATATCATACGAGGGAGGGGGTGCAGGGCCGCCATGAGCCTCTCAAAACTAAAGAAAGTCTCATATAATACGAGGGAGGGGGTGCAGGGCCGCCATGATCCTCTCAAAACTAAAGAAAGTTTCATATAATACGAGGGAAGGGGTGCAGGGCCGCCATGAGCCTCTCAAAACGGTCTCTGTATTCGCAGATGAGTATCAAAAATGACCTCGTGGTACCTCTGAACGTTATAATAAATTTTACAGAAAATACCTAATCTTTAAATAGCTATGAAGTTTTATCTTGAATATCAAAAAAGCATTGCATAACTATTAAATATTAAATTTTTTTCTAACAAATTTCATATATTACTTCTATAATATCTATTCTAAAGGAAAGGGGTAGCGCCAGTTCGTTTCAAAGTACTAATCTGAGGATCCAGAGGCTTGGATACTATTTAGCATTGTAAAATTTTTTGAAATTATTTTATCTTTTTAAAATCTTTATTGTGTCTTAAATTCCCAGTTGAGAGCTATGCAGTATGCACACTTTAAGTTCATTATAATATGCAGGACTCTCAGTAGAAACAGATTTTTTAATTTTATGAAATTTTTTTAAGAATTAACGATTAGCTAAATTAAATTAAATACAAGAACTAGAAATATTTCATTGTTTGTTTGTATCCATTAAACACGGGTTTATTGCTTTTGTAGTACGAAGGAGGGGATGCAAAGCATCCATGAGCCCCGCAAACTGACCTTTGGAGCCTCCTGATTTTCAGAATGGTCTCCTAGCCAATCAAAATCGTCTCCGAGCCTTATGCTACGTCTGACAGGCTGCTCAACTCTGTCTCTCGTCCAACAACCCGATATCCAACAACAAATATTTCGTTTTTACATCCACCAAAAGCATTTTTTCAAAAAATCTCAACATGTTAATAAAGTTTTTATTTGGTAATAAACAATTTGTCTTAAAAAGTCTCCTTTTATTGAGAATAATACTTCTTTTTTTGTTTTTTCTAAATTTCACAAATTCCTAAATTTTGCAGAACTATTGCAGCTTTATAGAAAGAAAGACAAATCTGTTATGATTTTACAGGTGCATCATGTACAACTCTATCTAGACTACAGGTGCATCATGTACCTATCTAGACTACAGGTGCATCATGTACAACTCTATCTAGACTACATGTGCATCATGTACAACTCTATCTAGACTACAGATGCATCATGTACAACTCTATCTAGACTACAGATGCATCAAGTACAACTCTATCTAGACTAAAGGTGCATCAATTACAACTCTATCTAGACTACAGGTGCACCATGTACAACTGTATCTAGACTACAGGTGCATCATGTACAACTCTATCTAGACTACAGGTGCATCATGTACAACTCTATCTAGACTTCAGGTGCATCATGTACAACTATATCTAGACTACCCACAATTCACAAAACATTAAAATTTTTGTAAAAAACTTGAATAATTTAACACAAGAAAAGCACTAAGTAGTAAGTATTTTTCAAAAACTATTTTGTTTTATGAATTGGTGGTATAATTGGGACACCCTGCAGTTGATAGATGTAAAGCTTTATTATATAGATTACAATTGTACTCCTACTTTTTTTCAAAACATAAACTTTAATAAGTCATAATTATTTTCTGGTCCTTTATCGTTTTTTAATCTCATAGAATTTAAGTTTAAGTTAAGTTTTTCATTTTCAAAAATGTCTTTTACGATCTCTAGTTTAAATACTAATTATTACTAACATAACAGTATAATAAAATGTCGATTTTTAAGAGACAATGCTTTTTTTCTGCTAGTTTTGTTTGAAGGAGAGATACAGTATAGTACATGCAAAGTGATTGGACTGTATGTGTACCTTTAAAGTATCGTATACTTATGTCTGATATCCAAGAAGCCAAATGTTTTGAATTTAAAGTTCAAATTTTCCCCCTCATGACTTGCAAACATAGTTTTATTTTCTGCATTTATTTGTTTAACTTGTCCTATTCTTTTCCCACTCTCACAACTATTAATTTGGTCTCCTACTTAGGGGTGTATATATTTTCAAGAATCACCCCCACCCCCTGGTTTTTCAAGTTCTGGGGACAATTGTCTAAAAAGGCAAGTTTATTTACCCTTCTGATTATATTTTACCAAAAGTTTAATTATTTTCCACCAAAAAATATAAAATTTTCCCAAATTCAGCGAATAAAACTCTGAAAATGTTTACCTAATTTCTGTGAGAAAAAAAAATAATTCTTTTCAGAAGAGGGAGGGGGGAGGGGGATGTAGAAATTAATGATTTTTCAGGAAAAGATACATTCATGTTCTTTCTCTTTCAATCCTTCCCTCGACATTTTCAGTATTTTCAAGTTAAGAACATTTTGTTTAAAATGCCGAGTAGAATGTTATAATATGACTTTTAACATCCAGTTCATAATTTTTATTTATATGTTAACAAAAAAAAAATTGGGATTTGTTATAAAGGAATGTTTTTCATTTTCATTTAGAATTTTAAAAGTGAAAATTCAAGTATTCGATTGAATTGGAGTATATATATTTTTAACAACATTTTGCAATCAGTAGACATTTTTGTATTTGGTTTTGGTTTTGGAGTTTTTTTTCCTGTTTCTAATCTTTGCTTACAAAAAAAAATCTTTCGGAAATCAGGATAACAACCTGAAAACCGCTCTTCAATGGATGCAATTGAACATCATATTAAGTTATCAGAGCCCCTCCCCCCCAGGAAAATTTGTGGGACGCTCCCCTCTTGTAAAAATTATGAGCCCAAGAAGAGAAAGCAGGCACCTTCAAGCCCTTTAATTTTGATTTGTAAGAATAGATTCTAAAATAATTTTGCCTATGCCTAAGCCTATGGGGATGACATAAAATGGAAGGAATTTTATGCCAGGGGGGGGAGGTGGTAAGCCGCCTTTGTATCACATAATCATCTTTATGCTCATCCTCTTATATTTTCAGTGGAAA